TTCTTCAGGACAGCTCTGACTTGTACATTTGATTACTTCTTTTCTTGCAGTTTTATGGAGGGATAATTAGCATACTGTGCCATCCAAAAGTTTTAAGACTATCATTCTATGAGCAGCCACTTTTCCATTCCCACAGTCATCCCTCTAGCCAGGGCAAAAATAAACATACTTTTTGTCTCCATATATTTGTCAATTCTCAACATTTCATATACCTAGTATAATGCAATATGTAACCTTACGGCTTGCATCTGTCACTTAGCCTAATGTTCTCAAGGTTGTACTATGATACAACTTTAATAATATTATTTAGCACATAATATCCCACTTTATACTTATTCTACATTGTGTTTATCCACTTGAGCCACAACTGCATTTGTGATGTTTTGCTGGTTAATTGGAGATAAGAGTCCCACAGACCTTCCTGCCTGGGCTTCCTCCACACCATGATCCTCATTTCTCAGTGTCCTGAGGGGTTGGGATTACCACACCTGCCCAGCACCATGCCAGTTTTGTTCCTAGGATTCTGTCATGTAATAAGAAGTCAGTATTGTGGTAGCTCCATTGTATTTAGTTTGGGATTGCTTTGTCACTCCAGGGTCTTTTTTGCTTCCAATCAGAATTTTAGGATAGGTTTTCCTAGTTCTGTGAAGAAGAATGCTGATGAGGTTTCCACTGGATCTGTACATAGCTTTCAGTAATATGCATATTTTCATATGAATTCTGCTTCTCTGCTATGGAGGATTGTCTTTCTACCATCACATCTGTATGTTGTAATTTTCACTACAGCGATCTTTTATATTCCTGGTTGAGTTTACCCCTAGTTTTATTAGTGAGTGGGATCAATTTCTTGGTCTCATTCTCAGCATGTTTGTGGTTGGTATTTACTAAAAAGTACTGATTTGCGATTACATTGTTTCCAAAACTACTCATCACATCTATAACTTTTCTGATAGAGGCTTTAGTGCTCTTCACTATAAGACCCTATCATCTTCAACTAGTAATGAGATGACTCTTCCCATTCTCATGCAGATACTTTTATCTCTCACACACTTCTTCTAAGACCTAAAGCACTACATTGAGTAAGCATGAAGAAATGTACATTTGTCTTGTTTAGGGGAAATGCCTTTAAGCTTTTCACTTGAGTCCCAGAATGGGTATAAGTTTCATGGAAACCCTTTAGTACACCAAGGGTGAGTTTTCCACTACCAGTGGGGCTTACACCCATCTCCTCTGTTTGGACTTCAGCCTGAACTGGCCTTGAGGCCAGCACCAAGGACCATTAAGTCCCATGTAGAAAGATGTAATTTAATTACTCCTTCAGGGTCCACTTAGAGCAGCCGCTGTGAAATCCTCCCAAGGGCCTCCCACAGAGAAGGCCAACTCTGGCTAACCCTGAATCAAAATTTCCTTTCAGGCTTGGTTTAAATAGGGGACAAAAACATTCATTTGTTCAGATGGATGATGATGAAAATTCTACACATTGTCCTAGAGTTTCCAACCTCCGCTGTGGTTGACAGAGAGAACAAGAGCATACATACATATGGTAGCTCCATAAAGGTTAAAGTTGTTTTCAAGGTAATTATGAGTGTTTTAAAAATTGTTCATTCCTTAGGAAAATATGTGAAATGAGAAAAATCTGCTCATAACTAACTACTAGATTTGTCCAAAAACCTGTCAAGTTTTGTTACCCTGGAGCCAGTAACATGAGAAGTCTTTTTCCTAGGTATTATTACTGTTTGTAAAATAAATGAAATCATAGAGCAAATGATGTGCCCAAATGAGCCGAAAGTTTATTGTTTTGTTGCATGTTCCAACCATAAAAAGGATCATAACAAATCTTGGTTTTTATTTATATTTCTTCGCTATTTTGGGACACTGAGTATAATTCAGAAAGGCAATGGAGAAATTACACAGCAGAGAACTCTGAACTGGAATCCCAAAGCCTGGGAATTGTCTGTAGGTTTCTCACATACATACTATATGTCTAAGTAAGTCACAAATTCTCTTGTGAAACTCCAATGAAAAGATCTAACAAAGTAATTATTGAAACATCTTTCAGCTTCAAAGAGAAACATTAGAAATTTTTACGTGCTCTGAATTTTTAGCTTGGTATTCTTAAAATAGTTTAGAGTGGGAATGAGTAGCATATAAAAGAGAAAGATAGTGGATTAAGAATGTAGTGTCTGCAGCAATCCTGAACATTTTAAATAAAAACAAAATATTCAAGTTCCTCTCTATTACTTAGAGATATTTAAACAGCAATTAATATTCAATATATAAAATTGGAACAATAAATTAGATTAAGGTGATATCACTAAAAGTGCATTGAATTCCATGCCAAGCTCAATCTGCTTTAGGATAAATTTCACTATGAACCAGAAACATCTAATGTCAGGGATTTTGATGGCACCTATTCCTGTGTTTCTAAACTATTTTTGTCCTGGAAGTGGACCTCAGGAGGTTGAGAACACCACCCAGTTACACAGCCTGCACCGGGCCTGCGGGGGAGAGGGGGCCACTGTGTTGTGACTATAGCATGACTTAGCTGGGTCATGGCTATCTGCAATCTTGTTCTTTCCACGGGTGTTCCTGGTACTTATCCTGTGAGCTGGATGAGAATTATAGCCAATGCTATAGAAACGTCTTTGTTCCACTCAGAAGAGCAAATGACTGGCTGAGGTTGAGGGGATGATTCATGGTCATTGTCATGAAATCTACTTACTGTCCTGATTCTGGATGGGATAAGGACCTGTCCACCTGCCCTGGAAATCACAGCAAGTATGTCTTTATCTGGGGGTAATTTGTTCTCTAAATGTGGATGGGTGCTGCAATTTCTTGTAAACTGCAATTTCTTTGCAGACTGCTCATTCACACTAGGGGTGCTCCCTTATTTGTATCTGCAGCTGAGTGACGACAAGGACTGGATTTGAGTTTCCAGTGAAGGGGTCTCCTGATGCCCAGCACATGGCAATCAATTGCTCTGTGGATATCAGAGACAGATGGGCTTGTCTGTTCCAGTTGCAGCTGAAGAAGTGTGACTCTGGCTTGTCACTAATATGAGCTATGGAGTTAACCAATATGGCTGGGAATCATAACAATGTTGTGCCCTTTAGTCAAACACAGCTGCACCTCAGTCAGAAGTTTCAAGCCTGTAACTCTAACTATTCAGGAAGCTGAAATCTGAGGATCATAGTGTGAAGCCAGCCTGGGCCAGTTAGGTTTTGAGACTCATATCTCCAATTATGCACAAAAAAAAGCTTTAAGTGAAGCTATCACTCAAGTGGTAGAATGCTAGCTTTGAGCACAAACATTTGAGGACAGTGCTGAAGCCCTGAATTCAATTGTCTGGTTCGACACACACACACACACACACACACACACACACACACACACACACACACAGAGTTGAACCTTACAAATAAGTGACATAACTTGAATGATGTTTGGACTTTTTGTGTAAGCCTTAGTTTAGGATGGGAAATGTGTTTTTTGAAGTTGGACTGAAACTGGAATTCTTAAATTAAAAGTAAACATTAATCATTTTTGTTTTTAAATGAAGAGGTGAAGAAAAAAGCAAATGGGGTAGGTACCACCACATTGGATATGTTGGAAGGGAAGTGAGCACCTGGAGAAAAGGAAGAAGAGCAGTTGAGAGAATTTCCTTCTCAGTGAGCACTGTGTGATGTGGAAGGGCTGCTACAAGGAGATTTTCATGCTACATCTAAGGGAGATCATTCAAGAGAAAAATAAAAAGCACATTGACAAAGAAGGAAATGAAAATCAACCACAATTGTCCCCACCATGAAACTCTGGTCTCACTCACCTGTTGATTTTGCATATACCCATGTCCATAACCCCTGCAAATCAGTCCATGTTTGGGCATGTTATTTGAATTTTTTATACTATTTTAAGAATGATCACTAAGACACCTCAAAAACATCATACAGCATTATGTCAATATACTACAGGAAACTCATCTTTAAGAATATAGGTTATTTTTAAATATCAGTCATAAATAGTGCCATACAGATAATTTGAAATTTTTTTAATGACAGTACTAAGACTTGAGCTCTGGACCTGGGCACTGTCCCTAAGCTTTTCTATAAAGGCTGGCTATCTGCCACTGGAGCCACAGCTCCACTTCTGGATTTGTGCTAGATCATTGATTTTTTTTTAAGTCACATGGATTTCCTACTCAGTCTAACTTTGAACCTGGAATCTCAGATCTCAGCTTCCTAAATATCTAGGATTGCAAGAATGAGCAACCATCGTTGGCTTGAAGGTACTATGTATAGGGAGCAGGGAGGATGGTGGAAAAGGGGCCTGAAAAAAAGGCCCGGGGGCCGGCCTTGAACTTTTGTGCTCAATGCTAGTGTTCTAACATTTGTGCCACAGCTCTACTTCTGATGTTTGGGTAGTTAATTGAAGATAAGAGTTTCATGGGCTTTCCTCCTCGGGATGGCTTGAAACTACAAATCTGAGATCTTACCTACCTGAATTAGCAAATATTACAGGGTGGCCTGAAGACATTTCAAATATCTTTCTAAAGAAAAATTTCCAGAATTAAAAGTCGAGGTTCAAATGGAATACAGATATATATCCAAGAACCGATGGAAATGCTGGGCAACATCTAATTTTCCAACCCTGTGCATTCATGAATAATGAAGGGAGAGCATCCATTTAATAATATACCTTTTTATTTTTTACTATATTGAGTGATACTTACTGAGGTTAACTGCTAATAAAGGTTAGAAATGATTAATCTTGTATTGGTAGTTTATGAGCTGAATGCTTGTTTTCTTTCTTATGCAGTATTGGTATGTGTGACTTAAACAAATCTACTGCAGCTATCAAATGTTCAAATCATGTTATCCTGTATGCAGAAAACATGGCAGCCGTTCTTAGGAAACCAATTATCTTTCATTCTAGCTGTGATGTCACATGCAGCCATGGGTAGAAATCCTCCTGGTAGTTCCTGAAAACCCTCTCAGCCCAGGACCATGAGCAACCACACAGCAGTAACAGAGTTCATCCTGCAGGGATTCTCAGAGCACCCTGAATACCACATCTTCTTGTTCTGCTGTTTCCTGTCCCTCTACTGTGTGGCCCTCACAGGCAATGTCCTCATCATCATGGCCATCAGCTTCAACCCTGGCCTCCACACTCCCATGTACTTCTTCCTGCTCAATTTGGCTACAATGGACATCATCTGTACCTCATCTGTCATACCAAAGGCACTGGAAGGGCTGATGGTAGAGAAGAGCTCCATCTCTTTCAGGGGCTGCATGGCCCAGCTCTACTTTCTCACCTGGGCTGCATCCTCAGAACTGCTGCTTCTCTCAGTCATGGCCTATGACCGCTATGCAGCCATCTGCCACCCCCTGCATTACAACACCATGATGAGCAAGGCCTTCTGCAGCATGCTTGCTGCTGGAGTGTGGGTGATCTGTGCCTTCAACTCAGGCATGAACACAGGGCTGACGGTGAGACTGAACTTCTGTGGGCCCAATGTCATCACCCATTTCTTCTGTGAAATCCCTCCTCTGCTCCGTCTCTCCTGTAGCTCCACTTATGTGAACAATGTCATGACCACACTGGCTGATGCATTCTATGGCATATTGAACTTCCTCATGACCATTGTGTCCTATGGCTTCATTATCTCCAGCATCCTGAAGATGAGGACATCAGAGGGGAAACAGAAAGCCTTC